ATGTGTACCCACAAGGGAGCAAGGAAGAACACTTGTATTTTTTTTTTTTTTTTTACTTGGATATCAGTTGTCCAGTAAGTCTTTTGTCTATGCCTTGCAACACATATAGACTCAGTCACATTCTTGTATTCCTTTTTTAGTCCAGTTGGAAGCTATTTGTGTGTTATAAATTATCTAAAGTATATTTCAGAAGAGAAAAGAAAATTCTGTGACCCTAACAAGACCCTGCTCAGTTGTACAGAATCTTAAAATCTTTACACTCACACTGACTGGGGCACATTTATTAAAGGATTGGTAATTATAGAAATCTCAGTCTAGTCCTATATCCATAATGACTTTCTAGTATTTATTTTCTAAACAGTATCAGATTTTCAGCAATTTAAAGTCACATCCCTAATGTTTATGTGAAACTGAAATACATTTGATGGTAGTTGAAGGAAATGAACCCAGCAGACGGAGAGCCTGGATTTCAGTTTATAGTCTACAACATTTATAAATTTCTGCATTTTTAATCCTCAAGAAGCTCAATACTTTCATTCTCTTGTGAAATAAAATAAGAAATAAGATAAGACACGTGGGTGTCTGAATTTCTTGGCAATAGATAGGTTTCAATGTTTTTGTAAATGGATGAGTTGAAATAATAAAAAGGAAAAAAAAAAAGGGTAAGGATTGAGTCACAATAGCACTCAATGAATTAATGTGGCAAGCAGTGAATTTTTAATGTGGCTTTCACCTCCTTTAATTCAGTCTTGGTATATTATGCCTGATGTATAATCTAAAAAATTCTCTACTCCTCACTTTTCTGATTATGGAAACAGACCTAGTATGTGATATCCATCACCTGTCATCCTGTCTTCCCTGTAGCTCAGGATGCTATAGGATGTAGGGCTGAAGCAAGAACCAACTAACAGTGATACAAGAGAGAAGCAGAACTGCTTGCCCACCTGGGAGGGCACAGAAAGTTTAGCAGGGCATAAAGGAAGGAGACTTTCACTTCATGTGGACCTTCTACTTTTGACAAGTAACACTGGTGAATCCTCCCCCCCCCCACACACACACACAACAAGACTTTCTTCAGAGAGAGGGAGAGAGTAAAGTTGGGCAATGCAACTCATTCATGTATACATTATTTACTCACAAAACAAATATTTATTGAGTGCTCATTGTGTGCTAAGCACCAAGGTTGTTTTTGGGAATTTGAAGATGAATACCTTACCTTACCACCCCTGCCTTTAATGTTTCAGTCTAGCAGGGAAAAGATATGTAAACCAGTAATCACCAGGTCTTGGAACAGATATATTCCAGTTTGACATCCATCTCCCCCAAGAATTTGCATTTTTACCCCAGGTATACTAAATCAGAATCTATATTTTAAGAAGAGCCTCAAGTGGAATCACCTGGGTTTCTTGTTTAAAAAGTAGATTCCGATTTTGTATGTCTGGGGTGGAAATGCAAATTTTCAGTAGGGGGTGGAATTGCAATGAGTTGGTTAGAAGCCCTGGTAATTACCACTTGCAAAGGTAATTATTATGATGGGGAACTTCCATTACAATGGGGAACCTCAGGCTGACCAGAAACAGCTCGGATATGGGAAAATAACCAAGTTCACCCTCTTAAAATTCTGTGACCAGGAACAAGGTGCTTAGTACCTTTGATCTTCAGTTTCTTCATCTGCAGAGTGGAGGAAACATTCTTTAATTTGTAGATATATGTAAAATGCTTGGGACACAGTGCTTATTCACTAAAAGGTAAGAATGTGGATGTGTCCCAGGTGCTAACACAAGTCTCCAGGGCAATGAGACCACGGAAGGGGTCCTGAAGCCCATGATTTGTTGTTATGTGCTGTCCAGTAGGCCCCGACTCATAGCAACCCCTCCTTGGGTTTCCAAGGTGGTATCACTACAGAAGTAGGATTGCCTAACCTTCCTTCCGAGGAGTAGCTGGTGGGTTTGAACCTCCAGCTTTCTGGTTAGCAGTCAAGTGCCTTAGGCACTGTGCTAAGCCCATGATAGATGGGACAAATGGTCTTCAGGTGAACTGTGTGGTCCAGGTCCAGCCAGGAGTTGCACTGACAGATTTCAGTCCCTACACCACCAGAGCTCCCCCCAACTCACTAAGTAGTGAGAATTTCAAAGGAAAAAGGCTGTGGCTGACAGTTCAGGTGAAAAGCCTATTGCCATATTTGATGCCCCAATTTTTCTAACACTTTGTGTTCCGCGTGACTCCCCTGTTGCCACTTAGCACCTTATTTACTTAAGGAACTCTGCATTCCTGCTATTCTCTTCCTCCTGGCCCTCTATACATCACCCTCTTGTCCTTCTCTTGCTCTTCTGGTTCATTGTATTTGAAACATATTATGTATTGAGGTTCTGTTATATATATTATAATATTTGTTATACATATAAATTATAAAAAGTTGAACAGAATTTATTTGGTCATTGCTGCCTTTTTGTGAACTAAAATAGTTACTATTGGGTAATGTTTATTGAGTGCTCATTTTCAGACACCACACACTATGCATTACATCATTGCTCCTTAGACTTTAATGTGTATACACATCACCTGGGGATCTTGTTAATGTGAAAATTGTGACTCAGTAGTTTTGAAGCTGGATGAGAATCTGCATTTCTAACAAGCTCCTGGGTGATGCCCCTGGTCCACACACAGCATTTTGAATAGCAAGGCATTGTATTGATTTGATCCTGCAGCAACCCTATGAGGTAAATACTTTTTTTTTGTTTTTCTTTTTACAGTGTGAAAATTGAAGCTTAGTGCAGTTAGATAATTTGCCAAGGTCACATTGCTAGAAAGTAGCAGAGTTTGGATTCTAAACCCAGGTCTGCCTCCTGGCATAGTATATAAAATATGGTGTTTGGAAATGTCCTACAAAACTCAAGGTGATTCTCACACTACTTGAGAAAGAATTTATATTTTTAGTTCATTTCTTCCATTTTCATTAATTTTTTTTTCCAATGTAATTTCCCTCTATGCAGGACCTTGTATTTAATGGTGATTCAGATGTATTGGATTTTGTTTAGAAAGATAATTTGCAAAGTTTAAAATGATTTTTGTTTGTTTTTTTTTTTGGCCAAAATTATGGCCTAGAAAACATTGTACCATTGATGCAATCTGCATTGAACAGAAGAGGAAATTGCTGGGGAAGGATGTGTATAAGGAAAGGAAATCCTCATGCTGATTTATTGTTTACACTAAGTGTACACAATGTGCTGGCTTGTTAAAGGCTATTGAAAAAAGACGTAGTCTCTGTCCTTAACAGATCACATAGTCTCTTAAAAACATTTCAAACTGCTTATAAAATCATAATGGTTCATAATTGAAAAATTTTGAGTGACAGAAATGTAACAAAAAATTATTATAAATCACACCCAACTAATTTCATGCTTTTTTCAAATTTTAAAAGACTATATCTCAAAGGGTGATCAAAGACCACATTTGCACAGAATAGGAAGAGTTCATTATGGTAATATCTTACCATAAGTAATTGAAACCAGGGCTTCAAGCCAGTTCATTCTGGTTCGGTCCCCTGCTGAGAATTTCATTTCCACCCCAGATAGACTGAATCAGAACCTACATTTTAACAAGATCCCCATAGGATATATACATAAGAATCACCTAGAAATCTTGTTAAAATGTAAATTCTGATTCAGTCTATCTGGGGTGGAAATCCAAATCCTCAGCAGAGGATCCAAACAGAATGAACTTGTTTGAAGCCCTGATTTAAACATCATTTTGGTTTTGAAGGGAGTGAAGGGGGCAGGGTTGAAGGGTCCCTAAAAGATTTATTTAAGGAACGCAATGCGCTGCCTCAGGTAACACAAGGAGTCTGGGGAAGATGCCCTAAATTTCTCCAGGGTTTCCCAAAACTTCGCCCAAGAAGGGAAGCCCCAGGCTGATGCGCGTTGCTCCCACACCTGGTTCCTCACTGGCGCATGCGCAGTCTGGCCACCAGGGCTCTGGTCGTTTCAGAGGCCTATTTCCCTCCAGAAGGTTTCTTTGGGGGACAGCAAAAGGGTCAGAACACCAACCATGGAGAGCAGCTCCAAGCCAGAGAATGAAGAAGAAAACTCTTTTTAAGTGAAAAATATGTATGTCGAATGGAAATGGGTTGGGAGTGAGGGGTCCTGCAGGAGTCTCCCAACACACCTTCAAGGTGCAAAAACATCTTTATGATTAATTAACTCGTAGGAACAGACGGAGGAATTAATTACAGAAAGATAATTTTGAGGATAGAACGGGAAGAGATGAGAGGGCGTTGATCTAAAAACTTTCAGCGCTGTGGACTCCAGATGCTCTGTGTCCTTTCTTCATTTCTCTGGGGAGTCCGGGTACACTAATTAAGTCATTTGAGACCCTTTTCATTGCACTCCCTGAATAGGGGGGTTCTACCGAGAACCTCAACGTATTACAGTATTTGGCCACATTCTCCCAAAACCTGGGAAGCCGCTGCAAAGAGAAATCCTTGGGTGCCTGGGTTTGTCTGCGCTATGCAAACCTGGAGTTCCTGGTGGGTGGGGTGCTGGGATCTCCTCTGCCGCTCCCTCCCCCTACGCGGCGCCCCCCCCCCCGGCCTCCGCTTGGACCCCATACCGGTGTCCACTTGCGCGCTTCCACCCTCGCCTCCTGGGACATCGCAGACGGCAGGGAGCGCGGTCCGGCGCGCTGGGCATGCTCAGTCGCCCGGCGCCGGCTTGCGATTCGGAAGCCTGTGGGCGGCCGCCGCGGCTGCGGAACCTGCCGGGGCGCACAGAGGGAGGGAGTGCGCGACACCGGGCTGCGGCGGCCGGGCTGCGGCGGACTCGAGCCGGGAGCGGAGCCAAGCCCGGCGCGGCGCCTGCCCCCTCGAACCGTCGTCGGGAAGGGGCCAGCCGTGGCTGGCGTCGGCCGGGTGCGGAGGAACCGCGGCGGCGTGGCGGTAGCGGTAGCGGCAGCATCCTAGCCGCCTGCCCCGGCCCGGCCGCGTCCTCCGGGAGCCGTCGGGCATGGAGCCGTGGAAGCAGTGCGCGCAGTGGCTCATCTACTGTAAGGTGCTGCCCGCCAACCACCGGGTCACTTGGGATTCGGCGCAGGTGTTCGACCTGGCTCAGACCCTCCGCGATGGAGTCCTGCTCTGCCAGCTGCTCAACAACCTCCGGGCGCACTCCATCAACCTGAAGGAGATCAACCTGAGGCCGCAGATGTCCCAGGTAAGTAGACCGGCGCGGGCGCCCCCAGTCCCCACAGCGCCTCCGCCTCCACGCGGCATCTCCCATTAATCATCCGCCTAATTTCTTTGTGTAAATGCAAACATCTAGGTGCGCTCCGGTTTCTCTGCTTCCCAGCCCACAGCTTTGGGATCCACTTCGGCTTTTAATTATTTAGCTTTTATCTGAATATTAAAGCCCTTCGTCCGGAGATGGTATGAGGCTTTCTTAAAGGCTTTCTGCGAGGCGAGGAAAATTAAGTTGTCTTAGGGTGCCTTTCACCTACTTTTTTTTGGAGGGTGTGTGTGGGAGGTGGGGGGTGTTTGGACAGCAACAAAGGGAATTTGATTCAGTTCTTTTATAATAACGACAGGGAGGGGTGAAACGAGATGATGGGATAAATTTGCCTTTGATTCTTTTGCTTTACGTTTTGTCCCCATGTTTTCTTGAAAGAGGAACTATGACATAAATGAGGATTCTAGGAAGTGGAGGGCGTTCTGGTACCGTTATCTGTACAGGAATGACACTGGTCAAAAGGGAGGAAAAGGAAGAATACAGCGGCTGCCCTCGAAGGCCCCCTGAGCTTGTGGCCAGCTGGCAGACGGAATGGTTGTGTTTACAGCTTTTAAACCATGTGAGAAGAAGGAGCAAGCCCAGCCTTTTTCAGCCCCAACAGGAAACGAGAAGTTTAGCTTGATTCCGATTCCGCTTTCCTTCCTTCAGTGCTCGGGTGGTGTGGTGCACGCTTGGCCCTGTGGCTGTTGCCTTGCATGGAGCTGCCACTTTGAGAGTTTAAAAGCTGGTTACTCGGGGCTGGGGGGGGATGGTTACGTGTGTACCCTAGAGTCAGCTCAAAAGTCACAATTTGGTGGAATAGTTTGTTGATGGCTGTTGGAAAGTTTTGGGCAGGAAGATGTTAAACACGATTCTGTTTTCTCTCTGGTAGTGTGAACAACACCACAAAAAGCCACAAACACTTTGAACTTAAAAAATGAAAGAAAGCCTACTCTCCATGACACATTTTAGGACTAAACCTGTGTGATACAGAGCTGCAGCTACTTAGCAACCAGAACAGTGTCTTTTGAAAATGAAGTAACTTTATATGATTGAATAATTATGTATTTAGAGCTAGAGCACACATACTCATCTCTGATTTCTCAAATGTTTCAAAAAGTGTTTCATTTGGGTCCACTTGCACTTCACATTCTGAGGCCATCTTTTGACCCTTTGCCTTCAACCTCATGGTTGGCAGTCCCCAAGAAAGAGCAGGCTTGTAGGTAGTGAGAGCCATATGTATTTAAAAGTGAGGTAAATTTATTTCATAAACCTGGTTACTCATCACTAACTCTGTGGATCCCTTCAGAGTTGTCCCAGCTCTGGACATCCTGTCGGGTTTAACAAACATTTTCATTACCCCAGGAGCTGCTGTCCTGAAAAGTTTTATAGGGAGCTGCAGTTAGTTATCCAGTCCCACAGGTCCCCATATGCCACCTTGCTTACTGCCTCGGGAGGCAGTGGGGCCAGGATGCCTTGGCCCACCAGTGAGGAGTACAGTATTGTCTCCTGAAACTTTAGCTTCCTGGGACCCTTAGGGAATAAGCTGTTCTCAATACTCAAGTTTTCTAGACAGCTCAGGCTTTCCCTTTTTAGCCCTCAAATTTTTATTTGAATGTTAACAGTGGATGAAAATCTTTTCAAGTGTGTTTTGCTCTTTCTTCTCCTCTCAGACTATAGTAGATGCAGTTTAATTTTTTTTGATGATTAAGGATCATCATTAGAAGCATCATTAATGAAAATTGAGCATGAACAATGTTATGAGAGCTCTGTCCCATACTAGGGGCACTACAATGAAGACAAAAACTTTGCTATCAAGGAATTACAGGCTGTGTTATCAGATAAACCACCAGATTATAATGAGGTAAATAGAACAGCCAAATGGCCTCCCTTAGGCTGTTGAGTTCTTAACTCTGCTTAACCTTGAGCTTTCTGATTCGAAGCTCAGTATAGTTTCCATTGTAAATGTCCTGTGAGTGAGGAGGGCTCCTACTAAAAGTGGAATTTGGAAGGGTGCTACCTGAGTATAGAGATGTCTGCTTTTGATTGGTTCTTAGCCACATTACAAAGAGGTAAGGTTGCTGAACAGATGAGTGCTGGACAGATGTTTTTCTTTTATAGGTTGTCATTAAATGAGACTTGTTAAATTGTTTCATGAAATAAGTTGATATATATAACATGCCTACAGTGCCCAGCACAGAATATGTACTTAATTACTGTTTGTTATGGTAAAATTACTTACCTTTTTTTTTAAAATGATATTATCATATTAAAAGTAATAGGTTACAATCAAATTTTAAAACATTTGGCAAAGGTCTATAAGTTCCTCAGGGCTGACATTTTTATTTCTCCCTCTAATTACAAATAAATATTTCTAGGGAAAGGTTGTAGTTGCTTCTAGTTGCTCCTACCCCATCAGCTCCACTCACAGCACATAGTGGAATTCTTAGTAACCTAGTGAGAGTCTCCGATAGGTCCCAGTAGAGTTTGCTCTTCTGAAGTTGGAGTTGTTACTACTTGTACTGGTGGCTCTTTGCCCTGAAGCTAGTCTCTCCACCTGACTTAGGTTCTACTGAAGATATTAACTTGAAATAGAATATTCCCTTACAACACATGGTTCCCTAGGTCAGGAACGAATGGGAAGCTCTTAGTTTAGAGTTTTGTAGCATTTTGAGACCTTTATGAGCAGATGTTGATGAAGGAAATATTAGTTTATTGATGTTTTGCTTATTATTTGTTTTATTTATTTTGTTTTTCCATAAAAGAGCCTACAAAATGACTAGACTAACTTCTCTTAGTAAGAGCATTTATCTTCAAGGGAAGGAGCCTTGGTAGAACTGCTCAGCTGTTAACCGAAAGGTTGCTGATTAGAACCAGCCATCTTCTCTGCAGGAGAAAGAAGAGGCAGTCTGCTTCAGTAAAGATTTATAGCTTTGGAAACCCTATGGGGCAGTTCTACTCTGTCTTATAGGGTCACTCTGAGTTGGCATCAACTCAACAGCAAGGGGTTCAACTTCAAGGAGTGGGATTTCTTTTATTCTCTTTTTATTTGTTAACTTCTTGCCTTGTGTGCTTTAAAAAAAAAAAAAAAAATTCTCCACATAAAACAAACTGAACTTACTGCCCTCGAGTTGGATCCGACTCATAGCAACCCCTCCTTGGGTTTCCAAGGCGGTATCACTATGGAAGTAGTGATTGTTTAATTATAGGTTTGAAGTCTTGGGGTATTAAGTTAGTTGGTTACGCTTCAACACAGAAGTATAAACAGGATCCCAGTTTTCATACTGACTGTTTTTCCAGTCTGTGGGCATCAGCCTCTCTTTGGTCTTGACATCTTGGTACAGGACTGTTTTTTTCAGTTCAAAAATGAGTACATATTGTCCAATGAAGGAGAGTTTTTTTTTTTTCCTTAAACACTGATTTATATTTATTTACTTCTATTTATAATAATTAAATAATTAAACATTAATCACGTTTATTTATACATTCAACACATTACTCTGATTATAAAGAACAAAAGTAAAGAAAACTCATTAAAAATCAAAAGATTTTGGTGTCTGTCTGCATTAGACAAGAAACCCTAGTGGTGCAGCAAATCCATGAGCTGCTCCATGAGAGAAAGATGAGGTGGTCTGCTTCTGTAAAGATTATAGCTTCAGAAACCCTATGGGGCAGTTCTGCGCTGTCCTATAGGTTGCTATGAGTTGGAATCTACTTGATGGCAGTGAATAAAAAGTCTATATTGGACAAACATTTTCCATACAAAATAGTATTCTAGCCAAGACATAAAACAATCAAATGATTCTGGAAGAGTCTATCTATATTTGTAATATGGGTGGTGGTGGTGCATTATGGAATGGTGTGGGCTGGTTATGGGCTTGATGTCATTTTTACTGGTTAAGAAGTTCTCCATGAACACACTGATTTTCCTAAAACCAACCATACGTTTGTTCCTAATCACGATAAACAGTATTGAATAGTCTTAAAAATGAATTTATTCAGGCTTCCAGGATCCTTTGAACAAACATTTATTTGTTACTACTATGTGCTAAAGGAGCTCTGGTGGCACAGTGTGTAAGGCATTTTACTGCTAAGTGGAAGGTTGGCTGTTCAAATCCACCAGCTGTTCTATGGAAGGAAGATGAAGCAATCTACTTCCGTAAAGATTTATAGCCTTGGAAACCCAGTGGGGGTTGCTGTGAGTTGGAATTGGCTCCATGGCAGTGTTTTTTTTTTTTTTTTTTTCTTATGTGCTAGGCACTGTTTTTGCTAACCAGAAAGCTGGTGGTTCAAACTCACCAGCCACTTCTCAGAAGGAAGGTTGGGCAATCTATTTCTGTAGTGATACTGCCTTGGAAACCCAAGGAGGGGTTGCTATGAATCAGATCTGACTTGACAGCAGTGAGTTTGGTTTTTTTGTTTTGTTAAGCACTGTTTTAAATACTGCATGGAGCAGTAAACAAACTCACCAAAGCCTCTGCCTTCATGGTGTTTAATTCTGGTGGTAGAGATTGATTATAAACAAATAAGATGATTATGTAATATTATGGGTCATGAAGAGGTTTGCATCTAGGTAAGGACCTAAAGAGAAATGGTGACTCTGTTCTGTAGAATAGAAGGCATCTTTGAAGATAGGACAGTTGAGCAGGTGGCAGAAGAGGATGAGGGAACAAGGGAATATGGATGTTTGGGAGAACAGTATCCTAGGCAGAAAGACTACCAAATGCTGAGCATGCTAGAGGAATGGCAAGAAGGCCAGCATGGCTGAAGGAGAATGAATGCAGGAAGGAAGGGAAGGATGAGGTCAGAGAGAAAATGGGAGCCTGATTTTTCGGACTGTATGGGCCATTGTAAGGATGTCGGCTTTCCCTCTGAATGAAATGGTAAGCCGTTGGAGGGTTCCAGTAATGGAGTGACATGACTTGATTTACCTTTTCAGTAGTGTCCCT